CCATGAGACCTATTAGACCTAGAATAGAACAACAGAATGTTGACGATTAATGGCACAGGTCCCGAAGTCAACTTTGAAAATGTCGGTGAGGCCACCGTCACCCTCATTTAGTGTTTCAGTTCCAGTTTTATATTGGAGTAAAAGAAAGTCGACCACATTCAACAAAACGAAAATTTAGTGGTAAAACCCAACTATTTAAAAATGTATTCGAAAAAAAAAAAAAAAAACAATCACGTGAACTGACGTTATGATACTATATTTAAACTTTATATGCCAGATTAGCCTTGTAAAAAAAAAAAGCGAAATAATAGAACTGAAGTAGTTTATCTTTTGTCATTAAGATAAGCATGGGTTGTTTTGATTTATCAGAGCATATGATCAGGCTTCTTTCAAACGATGCTTAATTTCTTCTCTTTCACTTGCTGTACTTCCTAATTACAACCGTGAGTGTTGAACATGGTAAGGCAAATGAACATTACGACCTCTGCTCTTACCAGCGTGCCCACACAATTTTTACAGTGTGTCCATTTTGTCTATTGATGTAATTGTTACTGTAGTATGCAGCTGACGAGATACAGCATTATATGCCAGTCAATAAATTGTGCAATTTATTGTTTGTGTATTCTCTGTTGAAGCCTGTCCATTGTTGCTTTTCAAATCAATCTTCCCTTTTTAAATTAACCATATAAATTGACTGCTTTATTCCACCCCCCCCCCCCGTATTAAACGTTATACAAAACTGTGTGCCAATTCCCCCCCCCCCCCGTGCACTTAATTTATTTCTATTAACTTTTTAGATAACCGAAATGTCTTCTGCTGTCAAAAAGACGTTATTACCATCGAAGTGTTTTAGACAGGAAGCACGCGGGATATTATTTCCTAAAATAATATTATCATGTTATACATGGGAGCCGAACATACAGCTCCCCTTCACTCTTTAATCAGTATTGATTTACTACGCGGTGGTGACTTGCTATTTTATATTCTTATAATTACTACTTTTATTATTTAATTCCTATCACTTTGAATACTTTTCTCTGCTGGAGCCGTTTTGATCATCCAAAATTGGAATTCTGCCCTGGGTGTTTTGAAATAAATATGCTTGTTAAATGGCTGTGGATCCGTTTTTTGTTTTCTCTCTTCTTTTCTGTCGCTCAAAATGGAGCTCAGGATCCCACACGGGAAAGACGCAACCCTTATAGTATAGGAATTTCTCGAATGCTAGATGTCGCTTCTTACGATAAAGGTGACGACTGATATGTGTTGCGCAGAGTGGCAAGCATTGCTTTAGAGATCTGGCGTAGTTTACTTTATTTTCTGCAGGATACATAGGAGCTGCTGCAAAACGGGCTTCTTCTGGACCAATTTAACTGGGGGGTGTGGGGGGTAACTGATTAGCTAGACATTATGAATGCCTTTTTGAGAAAAAGTGAACAGCGGAAGCACACACAGATCACCAGTCTGACGAAATTGACGCACGAAAAATGACAAGATGATCTGGCTGGCCGACAATTAACACCCAGGAGAAAACAAACATTCATACAAGTACACGGCTATTGGTACAACCGGAATTTGGATTCTGGCTGGGTGTGTATCGAAGCAAACACCCTAATTGTCCCTTACATGTGCTTTTTAGGGGCAGTGGTTGTGGGTATATTTTTTCTTTCTCCCCAAAATGAGGCCTCCGAACGCTACCGATAACTTTTTTTAGGGATGTTTGGCTTGAAATGAATGTTGTAATCTGGCCACCCTGCCTGTGATTGGCCAGCTGACGTCACGTTCCGTTCAGAAAGCCATGGAAGTTGAGGAGACGTATGTTGTTATTCAGGAGCGATATTTACTTGAGTTTTGTAAAATTTAGACGCTTGACAGGACTGTCGTCTTTCTTGAGGAAACAAGCCAGCCATACAGTATTAAAAGAGCATATTTTGCAGTATTATCGAACAAATTCGAGTTATAAAGACAAGGTTTTCATCAAGAGGTAGGTAGACATCGCCACTGTCCTCGACCTACTTGTTGTCTTTGTTGAACTTGTGCGAGCCCTGCAACTGCTATCCTGTTGTCGCCATCTTGACAATTTCCGTTTTAATAATATTTTCCTTTTGTGTAAATACATTTTCATTAGTGCTTCATGTGTCTGCCCTGTATTGCTTATTGATCGTTTTAATAGCCTTTACTGAGTTGACTGACATATTACTTATACTACTACTAATAATTAATATTAATTGCGTTTTCAAAAAACGGTTTTGTAACTGCCGTAAGTAAGGAAAGTGAAAACAAAACCGAAAACAAGTGTCTTAATTAATTTAGTTTGATTTTAAACAGCAGGAAAACAGAAGTAATAGTCATCACACAGAAAACTAACCCTATAAAATGAAACATAAAAGTGAATCATTTACTAAATGGGACAAGACTCGATCAAGTTGATATGTTTAAAGTTCTTGATTACCCTGATAACATCAGATAAAAATTAAGGAAGTTAAATGTTGGCTCTCCTTTGAGAACCCCCAAAATGGCGGCATGCCACATTCTGGCCATAAAATATCTAAAAATATAATTTTGGGCGTTTCTGCTGACGATACTAGCAGACGATACAAATGCTCTGACAGGGTCTCGGCTATACGTAACTTGCCGACCTGCTTCTGCGAGTGTGCTTCACCGCCGAGCGCATCCCCCCACGCGGCGTGGATGGGGACTAAACTAGTGGCGTGGGGGATATGTTTGGCGGTGAGGCACACTCGCAGAAGCAGGTCGGCAAGTAATGTATCACAGAGACCCTGTCAAAGCATTTGTTTAGTTGTCCGGAGCCGGCACATATATTTTCAATAGAACTGACCCGCATTTGGATATTTTATGGCAAAAAATTGGCCAATTTAGCTCTCTTTCGAACGCCATCATATTAAAGCCACCATTTTGGGGGTTGTTTCAAAGGAGAGCCTAAATGTCCAATAATAGCAACAGCAACTTAAAAAAAAGTGAATATTTTGTGCAATGTAATCTTTGTCAGTTGAGACGAGAAAGAGAATTCATAAAAGCTGTATAAATACTATCTTAGGCTAATCTCAGAATAACAGTCCCAAATTATCAAGGCCGAAAAATACCCTATCAGGGCCTCAGTCACATGTAAATTGTGGACCTCTTTCCGGCCACTACACAGCATATCGTTTGTACGGGGTTAAACTAGATGGCTGGGACTCATAAGCAGCAGCTACCGCATCTCATGCAGCTTCCTCCATTTTATTTGTTCATGAGTTCCAAACCATGTGGTTTAGCACGGCGCGGGAGATAATCTCGGCGGTTGTGGCAAAGTCGCCGGAAAGAGGTCCGCAATTTTACATGTGACTAAGGCCCTGTTAGGGTATATTTTGGGACCGTTATTGGAGGATATCTTGATATATGGAAGTGAATCACAGACAACAGTTAGTAGATTAGTGAAAAAATATTTAGGAGATGCGGTTTTATTTTTATAGACGATGATGAGATACCCTGGACAGATAAAAACAGTAATTAATTAATGATGTCTTGAAATTTAAAGAAACTGACTCACAAAGAGTAATGACCCCCCACATTAGAAAGAGACAGTCTACATTCTTTGGTCATGTGATCATGAGAACATTGTGACAGTATGAAAGTTGGAGGAGAGGCAGAAGGAGACCGAGAGAAAATATGCTGGGCAATTTGACACCATGGCAATGCGAGTAATCTGTGTCGAGTTGACTGAAAGTATCTGAGACAGAAGGAAATGACTACCAGCGCCACATGGCATGAACTTTAAGAAGAAATAAAACCGTAAATTTATATAAGAAGTAAATTATTTCAAAGTCAGAAGAGACGCAAAGAACAAGATTTGACTCAAATTTCGGCAAACCTTGCAATTGCGACGCTGAGGGACGCAATCTGTTGCAAATTAACATTCTTAGGTCAGTTATTAAATTGTTATGAGTCATTTCATGTTTATTGATTACTCTCTTTATGTATTTTGAGAAAATAATTTAAATTAATTAAAAATCTACGTAACATTTGTCTCCCCCGGGATTTCCCTCTTATTTTGTCTTATTTGTGCGACGACAAGGTCAAGACAGAACATTAGGAGACATTTTAGGTTAAAACTACTTTGACTGTAATTTGCCAGCTTTTTTTAAATGTCTAATGCAGTCAGCATACAAATAATCTACACGTGTAAAACGGATGTGCACGCAGTACTGATATAAGACCAAAGTCCAGAAGTGGTTGAACAACCAACAAGAACTTTCTGCCGGAGTGAACTTCAAGGAAGAAGATTTACCCTTAACGGAAATTGTCCCTCAGATAACACAGATATAACCATCTATTTTTGTGCATGTCCTCCCTACATTACTTATCTTTATATTGTCAGTTTTTTCTTTAGTTTTTTTTTCCCTTTGTGCCCCCCCCCCTCTCTTAAGATATGCTCAGTTTTCTTCAACCCTGCCATGTAAATCATATAATGGCAAGATAGGAAAGGTTTTATAAAATAAGAAATATGATGAATCTTTGTACACATCAAAGATGCAAATAGCTGGGAATGAAACGTGAGAAGCAACAATGAAATTCATAATCTGTTTAAATCAGCATTGATCACTGGCATCATGAGAGCTAATAAACGGAAATGGTTGGGGCATATTGAAAGAATGTCAGATGACAGAAGTAAAAAAAAATGTACACAAAAGGGAGATGGTCGTAGACCATGAGGCAGACCAAGAAGACGGTGAAGAGATAATGCCTAGACAGAGTCAGACCTGCAAGCACTTGTTGTCACCAACTGGAAAGAGAAGGCCAATCAGAGAGGTGAATGGAGGCGGGTGATATCTGCAGCAATAAACCTCAAGGGCTCGGAATGCTGAAAAAGAAGAAGATAGGACTGTTACTACTTTTAGAATTCTAAGTATAAAATTTGTATAAAAAGACTATACTTAAAATGTTTTTAGTTTTTGATCCTTGTATCTGTTTGTTTATATTTTGACAGGTGCTAAAAAGAAGACATGCCTTCAGCAGCTAGACAAAGGCTTCCTGCCGATTTGTGGCGGCAGGGATATCGGAAGCAATCAAGTGGTAGCCCTGGGCCTTTTAACTGCTCACAGGAGATTATAGTTCATGCCAGCCCTGGTAACTGTGACGTCTTCCAAGAGGAGAAGTTGCCAAATTTGCTGGGCAGCACAAAACATTTAACAAAATCTCCCAGAAAGCAGCCTTGTACCACCAGTCGGGGCAGCCCCAGTTCACTGACCAGACGGGGAAGCTTCACCTTACAGCGTACTGGATTATCTGAGTCAGACAACAGCATTGTCCAGAGCAAGATGGACACACCTGAGCTGTCCACTTCTGCTAAATCAGACAGTTATCTTAGATACGACCCTACGAGTGTGTGTGATGCTTACGCAATGGAGTCATCTATTGCACCTCCTCCCAGCGAAGTGCCCTTGCCTCCTCTAGAGTGGCTGCAGTCGTATACAAGGCAGTCACGTTGTTCTGTGATCAGTAACATATCTCTGAAAGCAATCTTGGGTTGCCAAGTCGCGGCGTGATACTGTTGACTCCGGAGAAAGCTAATGGACGCAGACTTCATGGACAAAGAATAATGAATATCGCTCAAGAATAATGGATATTTTAACAAATCTGTATTTGTTATATGCTTATGTCATTCATCTACTTTCTGTAAATCATATCTGTCTCTTGCAGCCTTGCATTGATTTGCCTTTTGAATAGTAAAACATTCTGAAGAATTATAGAGTATTTAGAGCACAGAGAATTATCTAACAATTAGGACCTGTATTTGGGTTTGTGCACCCAAGAATCCCCCTGTCCCCCTCACCTTCTTTGCTCAAATTAAAATTTGTTTCCCAGTGTCATATATGTATGGAGAATTTTAACATAAGAAAACTTAATACCAAACAGTTTAAATATGTTTACATTTTAGAGACATGGTTTTCTTAAATTAGGTGGTATGGCTATTTAGAAGGCAAATCACTTTTCTTTCTTTCTTCATTGTTTTCCCTAAGATTACTTGTGGTGATACATCACCTCATTCTCATAATGTGAAACAAGTACATTGAGGGTTTCAATCTTGTATTAACAAGATGTGTTCATGTTAACATTGTGACCGAATTTTAGCTTCAGTTTTGACTATTGGTGACTGTTGGTGTAACGAGAAGGAATTTCAGGAAACAGTTTAATGAATTTCAAATTACTTAGAACAAAGTTCTATGAACAACAACTAGAACTGTTGGTTCCGAACTAAGTACTGACGGAAACATTGCTGAAATGACTTTTACAGTTTTGAAAAAAAAAAACGAAAGTTCCCATTCCCCCTTCTTTTAAAACTAAATATTGAATGAAGCATCTCAAAGTATTTCTTGTTTTATGTTAGATGGATGTACTTATTTTGACAGTGTGGTTATGCTCTAACTGTAGAGGACAAGTTATTGTTGATGCCTTGGAGTTTACATAAGTTTGAGTTGTATGTTTAGAAGTAAGTGGGCTCCTCGTTTTGTCTTGCAATTTTTGTATTCTTCACAGTGGATATTCAGCTTCAAGTTAACATGTTCCTGTGGGGAAGCTTAGACTTGGCTATAAAGTTAATTTTGTCCTCTCATCAAATTGTAAAATCCTTCATTCAGACAAATGTTAGCCCGCACTTTTACATGCGGCTAATCAGTTATTTCCTCCCCTACATAAGTACACCCCTTTTTTTTTTTTTAAATGGACACAAATTTCTTTATTGCAAGTCTGGTTATTTGATGCCATTTTTGTGTGTGCAAGTAGCTGTAAAAGGTTTGATTGAGTGTTGATGCACATTCCACAATGATTATGGGCTGTACAGACTGCTGCTGCGTGATCTGAGAAATGCTGTCTTTAGCTTTGCTAATGTTGGAATCATGCAGTGGTATTTGCCATATCGCCTGGAAACAAAACAGGCACACAAACCCTGTTTCAGGTGTGATAAACAATTGTGCTATGTGTTTGAGAACAAGATTTCTTTATACTGTACATTGAATACCATGATTTTTATATATGTTATGTTGTAATCATTGTTCATTCATCTAAACGGCCAGCATCAAGCGAGACTACTCCGTACACACTGAAAAGTGTCTATCCATTGTACTCAATGACATTAGTCAGTGCTCATTATCAGCACTTGTTGTTTTGTATAAGGTTTTTTTTAAAAAATATTTAGTATTATCAGTGACACATTTGTGTAATTTTGGCCTCAAAAGAACACATGTATGTATTTGAAAATCTACCTACTTTAGCAGAAATAATAAAAAAAAAATTAGTAGACTATAAAGGAAAAAAAAAAAAGAAGCAAACAAAAGAAAAAGCAAACAATGCAACAGGGTGGGTGATTTAAAAAAAATGAAAAAAAAAAAAAAAAAAAAAAATATGAAAAAAAATATTTTGGTTAAAAAAAAGAATTTTAAAGATAGAAATTATTTTTTGGGGTTGGGGCTGCATTAGAGTAGAGGCTCAAAAGAATTCATTCACTTGATGACTTTTGTCTGCATTATTCATTTGTAATTGTGATAGTTGTATAGTTTGTACAGAGTCACAATTGTAAACAACTTCATTGTTCTCCCATCTGTTTACGGTATTCTTCATGTTATTTACTGAAATGAAGTTGGAATGGTGTGGATTATAATCCAGCAGATAAATTTTTACAACACATGTTTATGTATTCAATGTGGAATGTTCCTTGCTGAGACATGATTAAAGACAGGCCTGGGAGGTAGAAGAATTAAGACTGATGTAACTAATGACCTTCTGATGCAGATGGGAACTGTTAAGGTCAATGGTTGGGTGACAGACCAGTAAGGGTATTTGTGAATGGGGTATGATACACAGAAGTTGTCAGGATATTTGGGACACAGGGAATGATACATACAAATTGTCAAGGTTGTGGGAGTAGGTGTAGGGTTCACAGGATTTGTTAAGGTATTTGAGACTAGGGGTATGACACAGAAGTTGTCAAATGTATTTGTATGGCACACAGAAGTTTTTAGTGTATTTGGGTTGGGACTAGGGGTGTGACACACAAGTTTTCAGTGAATTTGGGACTAGGGGTTTGACACCCGCAGAAGTTGTCAATGTATTTGGGTTGGTACTAAGGGTATGACACACAGAAGTTGTATTTGGGTTGGGACTAGGGGTATGACACAGAATTTGTGAGTGTATTTGGGTTGGGACTAGGGGTATGACACACAGAAGTTGTTAGTGTATTTGGGTTGGGACTAGGGGTATCACACACAGAGTTGTCAATGTATTTGGGCCTAGAGAATATGATACACATAACTTGTAAAGAAGAGTATTTGTGACATTGGGTAGGAATTTTGTAACTTGTCATGGTGGGTTGGGCGTTTAGATACATACAACTTATATGAGCAAATTAGTATCAGTGTAGGAAGTTGTATAGAATTGTGTTAACATAATTGGGGTCAGAGAAAAGATGATATGTCTGAGCTGGGTAATGGTGACAAGCGTATGAAGATTATGAAGTTCTATAAAACTGTGTAGATGGTTGGAAGAAAAGAATGTACAGAACTGAAAAGTACTGGTAATGGAAGTATTATGAAGTGAGCAGCATTATTGTATTTTGGGAAACAAGTTTCACAAAATGTATTGGACAAAACAAAGTGCTGCTGACTGTTTATATGTTAAAAGACTGGACATTTTCGTTGTTGACATGTTGGCCGTAACAGATTTCATTGACCATATCTCATCATCATTTTTTTATCGTGTGATGTACCACCACAAGTTTTCGCCTCTGTTTCTTCAGTTGTCTTTCTTCTCGGGTCCTTTTCAGGGCCCCCCAACGTGCCAGAAGACAATGATCTTCATGCTGAAATATAACCAAATCAGTGTCAGTTGTTGTTTGTATTGTCTTGTGTTTGTTGCTTCATATGCACCCATCTGCTGATGTTCAATGCATCACAGTGGTGCAGTGTTGTGACTAGATTTTTGTTTTTTTTTCAAATCTCATGGCTACTTACCTAAAAGGTCTTGCAGTTTTTCAGATGGTGGAACACATCTTGTCCTGCAGTTACACAGGCAAGAGTAGCCAGTCGAGATGTTCCACATGGATGATGCTAGACGGCATTGAAACTGTGAAGGCTGTAAGTTTTTTGCTGTTCTCTGTCTTTTTCATTGTCGAGGACTTACCCATGTGAGGGGATGGCATTCTTCATACTTTTAGCATGTCAATAGGTGACGAAAACCAATGAGAAAGCTAAAGTGATTATAGTTAAAGGAGACAGGAAGTATTGTGCAAAGAAATATATTGCATTACTGAACTGGTAAGTTTTATATTGAGAAAATTTCTTTTTTATAGTGCTGACATGGTAAGTATTTTGACACCAAATATTTTATATTATTGAAGTGGTAAATATTCTGTGCTAAGGAAGTTGCAACTAAAGAACAACCTGACATTAGAGTCTCTTATGAGCAGAAGAGAATAGTAAAATCAACTAGAAGGCCACCAAAACTAGCACCAGATATTACCATATTATAAATAGACCAGAGCAAGTCATTGTTCTACGCCTTAAATTAGAACCCTATAAGTGTGATAGAAATTACAGTTGCAATACTGTTGTCTTGCAACCTTTCAACATTGTTGTCAAAGATGTCTAAAGGTGTTAAAGCACACAGCACCATGATGAAGGTGAACACAGTGATGTCATAACAGTTTAAAGATGGCTGCCTCACTTTTAACATGCATCAAAAAAAGTAGCTTTCTTTTGTCCATGTTTTGACCATTGTAGGGGTGTAACCTTTATAAAATCATGGGTGAATGGTCAAGTATGATGACCTATGCCTATCAGTCCAGCAAGTATAGAGAGGAGTAGGAAGAATACTCTTGACAATTGTAACAATATTGACAGCTTACAACATTTAGTTAGTGAAATTTCTGTCATGTTTTCAAGATTTTCATTTAAAACCCTCTCATATTTTTGGTAAGTTGAAGTTGAGTTGTGCAGAGCTTTAACTCTTTAGCTCTAGCGATGAGCCTTATTGATCCCGGTATCCTTTCATACATTGCTTATCCACAAGGTCCGACAGTTAAATAATGAGACTATAATTCCTTACAAATTAAAATAATCAACAGTTGAAGATATAACCTGTATTTTATTCAAAGTAAGCCCCTTGTGCATTGATATTGATACAGCTAGTGGCATGATCTAACAAACACTCAAACAACGTCTGTGTTCTTCTATTGTTATGACCCTTAAAGTCGAGGTTACAGTCCTTTTGATGATATCAGTAGCGTCAAAGAAGTGTCATTTTAGTAGTACAATTCTGGGGAATAGGGTGAATTGTTGAGAACACACACTTGTTTTTGGGCAAACATTCCTATACTACTTCCGCCTGGTAAGCTGGTGTATTGTCATGAAGAAGGAGAAACTGCCAGGTGTTGAATACTCAGGTCTGATTAAAAGAATCCATTTCAAAAGATGTTTCAGATTACTTTAACTGTGACAGTCTGTCCCTCTGGAATAACCCCTTTAGTGTTGATGAAGCACACCAAAATTGTCTT